CTTGCCTTTGTCTCCAAAAGTTCCTACAAAACCCTCTCCCTATTGCAAATCCATGGCCCAGGCTGAAATAGTCTCATGTCTTCTTCCTTCCTTCTTTTGAAGGTGGGGTAAAATTTTCATGTAAAATTAAGATTTCATTGGTTTTAAACTGACTTATTATAGTGGTGAAAATTTAAGGTACACAATGGTAAGGGTTAATACCTGTATACACACATTGTGAAATGATTAGTTTCGAAAATTAGCGTGTATGTAACCTCAGACATTTACCATTTTTTTATGTTGAAACACTAAAATTCTACTGTCCTAGGTATTTTGAAATACATACTCTGTTATTGCTGACAGTCGTGTTATTGTGCAATAGTAGACTCATGGCTCCTACCTAAATGTAATGCTGTAATCATTGACTAACATCTCAGCATCCACTGCCCTCAACAGTCTCCAATAGCAAGTATTCTACTCTCACTTTACATTATCTTTATTTTTGTCTTCTACACGTGAGAACATGTTGCTCTTCCCTTCTTGCATCTGGAGTTTACACAGCAAGTGTCCTCCAGAATTATCTCAGGTATTGAAAACACCATGTGTTTACTGTTGAAGAGTTTTCCATGTGTACACATGCAAAAACACACATGTATGTACCATATACTCTTTATCAGTTCACCCACTTTGGAACATGGAAGTCAATGACATCTCTTGGCAATAATAAACACTAATGTGTACTGCATAGTGCTTTAACAGGCAAAAAGATATGTATCTGACTTATGTTCATTTACATTTCAAAAGTTGGTTTCCTGAACTCATTTTAGAACAAGAAACAGAATGTAAGGCATTGAGAAAATATACTTTTCCATGCCTCAGGAACTTTCCTTTGCCACACAAAGATCCACAGTTCATTTCAGAAACTTGCAGGTTAAAGGACAAGGGTCGCCATTCCAATGTGATCCAGGTGTTCACTTGCACAAACTCATAGATGCTCTAGGTGACAGTGGCCATCTCATTCTCTTCAACCCTCTAGTCAATGACCACATGCCACACACTTGACACCTTTGCATGCCAAACTAAAACTTCTGGTTAATAACCTATCCCACTCTCCTCAGGACTTCTGTTATGGGAGGCCCTGGTTATTTGATAATTAACCTCAAAAAAAGTAGTGCTTTAGAATTAGCTGAGAACTCTGAGGCCTAGGATATACCCAGAACAGCCTTAAGCAGCCCTTTTTGTGGAAAGGCTCTGCAGTGGGATTGATCATGTCTCCCATGAATACTAACTAGAGTCTTGATTCAAGGTTCAGGAACTTCCTCAGGCTGAAGTAGCATTTTCACTCAAAATCTGGAGAACTGAAGGAAGTATCCTGACAAGAGAAACTTTATGATTCAATGAATAAAAGCGTTGTCCTGGCTTTCCTTTCTCTTTCTTTTTCTGATGGATTGGATATGAGGGCAGTGTGAATGATGGGCAGATCTATGGAAACATGGAGCTTAACTTCTTATTTAAAAACAAACAAACAAACAAACATCCAAACACTTTCAGGCTTCCCTCATGTTCTAGCACTCACCAAGGCCACACACCTCTTACTAAATCTCTCTTCAAGGACAGAGGCCTGGCCCACACTTGGGTTACACACTAATCCTGCATTCCCAATGCAGAAATTTAGATGAAAAATGAATTGAATTTGTCAGTTGAAGCATCCCAAAGAGAACAGGACTTTATGCCACTTACTTATTATGTGTTATGTGTTATTCTTGATAAATGAAGTAAAATATGATGTCTCACTTCATAAATACACTGACAAAGCAAATTCAGCCTACAGAATGATCTATACAAGTCATAGGTTCTTTCACTGTGGACATGGACATGGACAATGTCTGTTCTCACCTGCTCCTGTGTAAGAAACCATTACAATGAGAAATGGATTCTATACAACACAGGCAAGTGTTCTAACTTGAATTCATTATTTTTACATAGGTCCAAAGCCATGTGCAGAAACAGGTATGGTCCTCTCTGTTTTGTAGTTTACTGTAGAAGAACTCTCTAGCACAGTAATTAAGTGGTGCTGGTGAATGGAGAAAGCTCAGCATGACTGTGGGCTGAGATAAGATGTGCCCCTGTCTGAAGCTGGATATGTGTAAACATCCTAATAAACTAAATAATTTTTTTCTTGAGAGAACTTGCTATAAGTATTTCCTATTTACCACTGTGAGAGGAATCAATTTTGCTCCTGTGGGCTCCTCCACAAAACTCAGTCAGTCAAAGTATGACAGATGGATTCTAGTGTGAACCCCTCCCTTAATCCCTCTTGATGGTAATAATACAACACCATGTAGCAGGTCACTGAAAGCCATATTATACACAGCAAATGGCACCTATTTCCTGCAGTTATGGAGGCTATAGAATCTAAGATAAAAGTGTCAAATGATTACTCAGTGGTGATAGCCCATTTCCTGCTTGATAAATGACACTTTAAAGCAATGTCCACACTTAGTAAAAGGGACAAGTTAGCTCCCTCAGCCTCTTTTATAAAAAAACTACACCATCCATGAGTGTTCTTCCCCTTTAACACAATCTCCTGAGAGAAGACCCCACTCATAAATTTCATAATCTTTAGGAGTAATATTTCCACATATTAATTTCAATAAGAAACAAGAATTCAGACCAAAACATCATCCAGTACGAAGAAACAATAAATATTTCAAATCTTGGAAATAAAATACAGCATGGTGACATGCATGAGATTTTGTTACTGGTCAGGAAATTAGTAAAGATATGTTCAATAGGAGCTAGACGAGCCTGCTTTGTGATGCAAGTGTCTCACGATTTCAGGGCATCTGAAAGCACTGTTTACCCTCCTAGGAGCTGTATGATAGAAAGCTGATGCATATCCATCAAGGCCAATCCTTAGGGTTGACTAGTATTGCCTCTGAACACATTACTTGGCAAGATCATCTACTGCCACTCCCTCTGCTATTGTCCAGGCTATGGGACATCCAGAAGACATTATGATTCAAGTAACAATCTCAAGAGTATCTCAGGCATGTTGCTCTAGATAACTGTTTACCCTCTGCTAGTGGATAAAAGATGTTTCACCAAGTCCCTCCAGAGAATTTCATGGCGTACACATATCAATCACAAAGTAGACACCATCAGAAACTGTATAGCCACAATGCAAAACTAATGTAAAATCTGAACTTAGTGCATCATCCCTACTCCACTGAAAGGCTTACCTAGTCTCTAATGGTTGTAACCTAGTTCTTGAGGAAGCTCACTGAGAACTAGCTTGCAAATCCTCCTCTACACAGCCATTGAATAATAAATCTAGTCAGCATCTCCAAATGTAAACAGTGATTTGTGAGGGATATGTTTCCTTTCTGCTCTTCCATACTTAATGACATTAGTGATTAAGGTTTGGTTACAGGGCTATGCAGCACAGGCTCCACTGTGTAAACAAGTGTTGTTTGCTCCTGGACAATACAGATAAGGGGTCCTTCTGGGAAGCCCTGCCTTGCCCAAGATTTTCCAAATTGCCCAATTGTCTTTGCACCACAGGAGTTAGAAGTACCCAATAGAAATTAACCACAAAACTATTAGGACATCACAAATCACCATTAAAATAGGACAAGTCCTTTCTGTTAGGATACAGCAGCTGTAGCATAACAAGTCCTGTCTCTCCTTCTCTACTCTCTGCACAGACCAAGGAACCGTAAGTAATGAAAGTTCCTAAATTTTCAAATATAGATAGGTCATTGGATGCCAGCTGCCACTGACTCCCCAAAGGCAAGGTTGCTCAGGGATGCCCACATATGCAGACACACTTCTAGAGGTCTTCTGTATGAGCCTCTGGTGGATTTGAAGGACAGTAGTTACTGATTAAGGGAAATTTCACAAACCTTTTCTTCAACACACAGATGTCTTCCTTGTCATTCGGGTAAGACAATAATACAAACTTTAAAAAGTGTCTTTCTCTTTTACGAATTATCTTTATGGTTCACTTGCTTTTTACTGTTTAATTTGATTTTGGCTTCAGATTTGCACTCGTGGCCTACACCTGGATCATAGTTTCTTTTCCAGTATATGCTTTGCCAAACATGCCCACCTTGTTTTAGTTGGTGATCAGTCCTGTTCTTAATTGGTCTCCAATGTAGAAACTGTATAGCCTGGTACAATGGGGCTTGCCCACTCTGCTTTATTCCTAGCACATTTGGTGTCATGCAAGAAATCACAGCCCAGGTCCACCACTGAATTTCCTTCTAGCAGTTTTATGCTTTCAAGTGTTATGTGCAGGTCTTTAATTCATTTTCTTTGTGATCAAGATCCAATTGTGCATCAGATCATTGGGTTGTGTACTATAATACTGACAGTCTTAATTGCCTCTCATACTAGCATAGAAAGAAAAACACTCTTCCTTCCTGGACAAATGCTTTCATTGAATCCCAGATTTCATTCCTTCCATAGTTGGATTAGATCAATGTGGCCATCACATATGCTACAACAGATTTAACCCAAGCTGATTGGACCTTTGTGGTCATCATATGTGCTATAACAAATGCAACCCTAACAAGCCTCGACTAACAAGCATCATCAGGATCCTGGTCTGACCCCAGAGTCGACAACTTCAGAAGACATCAGAATTCATATTCAGAGGTTTAGAGGAATTGTATACTTGAGCTTAAACCTTGAGAGTGCTGCTTCTTTTCTCTTCCATTTTAACATTAATAAGCACACACTCATTTGAGTGATAAGTACAAAATCCCACTAGCAACAGAGAACAATGGAGGACCCCTACTCATCCTAAGAAGCTTAAACCAAAGGCAGTGACCAAACACACAGATGGAGGCATTTAGTGATGGAAACTGTGAGTACCAGAGTTTCAAGATGACCTTAACGACAGTTCCCTCTTTTAATCAGTGCATATCCTGTGCAACTGCAGGGACTACATTGGAACTTTCCCTTCTTTTACCACCCCAACCTTGTGTTGCCTAATTCTTTTCATCCTCTAGTAAACCCATGGCCATGAGGACACTCACTCCACTCATTGCCCTCCTCCTGCTGGCCTTCAAGACCCAGGCAGAGCCTTTTGAAGGAAGTGCTGAGAAGGTTCTAGACCAGGAACAGCTGGGAGAGGATGACCAAGATATGTCCATATCCTTTGGAGGGGATGAGAGCATTGCCCGTCAATATGCAGGTGAGAGATGTGGACGAGTAAGAGGTATGGAGTAGAGAGAAGGAATGGAGATCAGCTCTGAAATCCAGTCACCCAAGAGAATTTATTATTTCTACATTTTTCTCATTTAACATCAGGTGCCAAATGAATCCATTTCCTTCTGCAAAGATTTTTGATCTAAGATGTATTTGTGTCTATCACTGGGTTTAATGAATAAAGAGATTAGTAAGTAGGTGCTTTTCTAGATATAAATGTCTTGACTTGGTCATGGAGAGGATAATTTATTATGTGTATTTTAATTTAGTAACTGGAGTTATATGTGTAGATATTTATGAAATGGAATGATGCTCAAAAAAATGTGTGATCATAGGAACACAAAAGTGAAAAACAACAAAAACAAGTCACATTGGCACTGGTCTTCAGTTCTGTGCAGGTCCAGTGTTCTCCATGCATATTTATTCATATTGATTGTGATTGCTCAGGCTACTGTCAGTAATGATGTATGTGGGAGACACACTTCATCGAGAACACTTCCCACCCATGCTCCTCCTCAACATGCTGAATCAAGACTCAGACACTCAGTGCTTCCTGTCAACTCTGTGTCCCCAGATATGAGGTCACGCGGGACCTGCTTTTGCAGGAGAGCCGGCTGTGGTTTTGGAGAGAGGCACATTGGGTACTGCAGGTACCAAAACATTGTCTACCAACTCTGCTGCCGCCAATGATGACTAAGAACAAGAAGGAGGGGTTTGCATTATGAGTTGAAAGCCTGAAGAATACTATTTGTCCTGCGCATGGCCTTGAGTTTCTTTCTCTCTCTCTCTTCTTTTTTAATCTAAATAAAGTCCTTGCAGCAAGTCTCTGTGTGTGCTTGTGCTTCTTTGTTGTCTCAGAGCAAGGAGAATGAAGTACCAGATTGCTATAAAGATATTCCTGCTCTGGAATATAGGGGTAGCAAGGCTGTCATTCAGGCTTCTGGTGAATAATAAGAATGGTCACTTCTACTGTAATCATCCTAATCTCTCATCTCATAACTCTGGTCCTTTAGATTAGAATCACTCTCAGAGCCACTGGCGATGGGGAAGGTAGGTAGAAAACATCACAAATAGCCTCAAGTGCTCATAGTTGACTTGACTTAAATTCTCAAGGAAGCCAACATCGTCATTCTTAAAGTTAAGACTCCTGAACAAGCAAGATCACTTATATCTGCCCATAAAGCCCTAGGTTTGTATCAGATCTATGTACACAATTATGAGTAGCATTTAAAAAGTTAGCACATGCTAAAATCCACAGCCCCAGAGAGACTAAATAAAAGGAGCAACCAAGAAGAGACAGGCAGATTTTCCTGGGTAGGGGAAATAGAATAGATCTCCTGAGTAAACTGGGGGTGGGGGTGGATAGAGATTGGAACACAAGGGATCAGGGTAGGTTAGAAGGAGAGAGTAATGAAAGAGATATCGTGATGAGAAGGGGGTCATTTGGGTCCCAGGTAAAAACCGGGTACAAGGGAAAGGACCACAAATCTATAAGATTGACCCCAGTAAGACTCCTAGCAATAGTGGCTAGGTTGTCTGAACTAGCCATCTCCTCTAATCAGATCAGTGACTACCCCAATTGTCATAGGAGAGCCTTTGTCTAGTAACTGATGGAAGCAGAGATCCATAGACAAGCTCTTGAGCAAGCTCCAGAAATTCTGTTCAAGCAAAGGTGGAAGGATTGTATGAGCCTGCAGGGTCAAGATTATCACAAGGCAACCCACAGAGACAGCTAACCTGGGCTCACAGGATCTTACAGACATTGGGCTGACAGTTAAGGGACCCGCATGGGAATGATCTAGGGCATTTACTTATGTAGAACTGAAGCATAGCTTGATCTATTTGTGGGACTCCAAGCAGTGGGAGTAGGTCCTATCCCTGATGGTTTGGCAGGGTTTTGGTATACCTTATCCTCATACTGGTTGAATCATCAAGCCATAATAAGAGGGATGGAACTCAGGGCTACCTTGAATTGATATGCCATGTTTAGTGAGCCCTCATGGGAGGCCTGGCCTTTTGAACACAAACAGGGAAGGATTGGATTGGGGAGGGACAGAGGAGCCATGAGGAAAGATGGGAGGAGAGGAGGAGAGGAGGAAATGAATCTGCAGTCAGGATGTGAATACATTTTAGTAATAAAAAATTTTGAAAAAGGTTAGTAGTCATGGTACAAAATGGGAAGCCAAGCAGAAAGTCTCACCTAAATGTACTCATCTCTAATTCGACCATGGAATGAACGCCAGCTACAGCTTCAAATTAATGTCCAGCTAATTTCAATATAAACGGAGTCTATGGTCTCTTAGTGTTGTCTGATTCTAGAACCCTAGAGCTCAGTTATTTTCTAAAAAGAATTTAAAATAAGATCCTGATGCTTGAACCCAAGAGTCTCTATGAAGACACAAACCAAATATCTATGAAATAATAGGAAATAATTATCAATGAATAAGTAGAGAAATTCTAGAGGGAAGTTGGACATGACAGTAAAGTGAAAACACTGCATTAACAATGCCCTTGTAATAACAAAACAAGCTAGGAATTTACAGTTGTTCTGCTTTCCTTGCACAACACAGAGCTGAGTTTCATGCTGTGACTCATGCAGGTCTTTATTATTCCGCTGGGTACCTTTTATGAGGCCCTGTTCCTTAGCTGGATGGTAGTGGTGCATGTCTTTAATCACAGTATTTGAGAGGAATAGGCAGGCAGAGCTCCATGTTTGAAACCAGCTGGGTCAACAGAACAAGTTCCAAAACATCCTGGGGTACATCACACACACATACACACACACACACACACACACACACACACACACACACACACACACACCTGTCTTTTGAAACGCATTGCAGTGTTGGACCTGGAGACATGACAAATTAGACAGTAAAATATGTCTACTACATTAGAGTGGAGAATCTGTCAAGAAGCCAATGATGAGCTAATTGGTTTGTTATGGTGGCTACATCAGAGCAAGCAGCTCCAACAACTCTGCTGGTAGGAACAGATATAGAGAGGACCTGCTGTTCTTTCCAGGATGTGAGAATTGATCTTACTCCCTGGCCTCTATTCCTGACTAGTGAGGCTGAATTTGCACTCTGATTTCAGGAAAACTTTGATAGATTATGAACAAAATATCACTACAGTTTCCAATTTTGTGTGGGTTTTGGGGGGATTTTGTTTGAATGTGTGTGTATCACCACATATGTGTGAGTGTTTCATTCATTTTGTTTTTTGTAGTTTGGTTGTTTCTTCAATTTCTTGTCCTTTATTTGTTTGTTTATTTTCCTGATGATTTCCTAAAGGCATCAAGTTGGAGTGGAGGGGAGGATCTTGGAGGAGAGTCAAGAGGGGAAACAGTGAACAGAATGAATTGTAGAATAGAACAATTGGAATAATATCAGAATCAGGGTAAGAAATGTTGCTGCTGTGTACAAAGGACCCGTAAGAAGAAACAATTGCTGGAAACTGTGGTCATCTTGGGGTTCTGCTCTGCTGTGAACACCAGTGTGAATGTCTGTAAAGCACAGGGGGAAACCTGGCATCCTGAGGTCACAGATTGTTCTGGCAAAAATTAGAAGTAATAGTCCAGGATCAACTCTGGAACTTCTGTTAAAGAGTTGTGTGTTGGCTGAGGTTGGAAAGACATGTGGCTGAGATGGGCAGAGAAGATGCAGGGATAGTCCACTAAGATGTCCTTGGTGTCAACAAAGTCCTTTGCAGTCTCTGACTCTTCAGTGCCATCTCCTGTCTTGTTCTCTGTGCACTAGGTGTGTAAATACGTATACTAAGTTCATGACATACTGCTTGCAGAGAAAGACCTTGAGTCAGGACATGATGTAGCAAGCAGGCATGTGTTTTTGTCAGGAAACCACTATTACCGAGTGTGGTAGCATTACAAAAGTCATTGGGAATGACAGAGGACTTATGAACTATGAAATCAAGGCCACAGAAAATTATGATCTTTCAAACATTTTGTAGTCGTGTCAGGGTGGTCGAGTGGTCTCAGGCGCCAGACACAAACTCAGCTTCTTCAAACATTTTGTAAAACCTAGGAATCAGTAATAATTTGTTAAATTTATGAAGAGCTATTAACACTAAATATTAATCAAAATGCAAAATGAGCAGTAACAGTAACAAGAGTATACCAGAACTTTAATTACAGTTTCCATGTGAATGGAATAATATTCACACAAAAATGCAAGTATCATTACAATGGAATATAAATTTTTGCTATCATCCTTAGAAAATGTAGTTTTGAAATTACCTAGCTGAGTGGTGGTGGTCCATAACTTTAATCCAAGCACTTGGGAGTAAGAAGCAAGTGAATCTTCGTTTGTGGCCAGCATGGTCAACAAAGTAAGTTCTAGGACTGCCAGGACTACAAAAAAGTCATCATGTTTCTACACAACTATATATATATATGTGTGTGTGTGTGTGTGTGTGTGTGTGTGTGTGTGTGTGTGTGCGTGAGAGAGAGAGAGAGAGAGAGAGAGTGTGTGTGTGTACTTAACACACATACATACATTGCTTGAATGAAACCCTAAAGACTGGAGGAATCCAATGAATCACATCAAATCTCTAATCCCAATGTACAAGGCAGGCTGTGGATGAAACTGTGCTCTTCAGGACACAGAAACTCCACCTATATATGATCCTTCATGCACCTAAAGCCACTGCCTCTTCCCCTGTGGGCTCCTGAACCCAAATACAGGAAGGGATAGAGAAGAAAGTATAAAGTAATAGAAAAATGAAGATATGACAAGTCAAATGTATGTGATTATTGAAAGGGGATCCTGAGATGTGATTTAGTACCTTAGCTCATGTTCATCCTTGAAATGACTGCTAAACTGTAAACAAAATTTCCTGTATCGGGATTTATAGCTCAAGAGAGTCTTGCCTAAGCCACATGGAAAGCACCAAGGAAACACAAAATCATATTCTTTTTCAGCAAAGAAATTTATTGGAGAAGAAAAACAATTGAGGCTAAGTACAAGGGGAATGACAGATCATGAGGTCTCAGAGCACATGGTGATCTTGTCTGTTCTCAGTGGCAGCAGAGTACGCCTTTTATTAGACCTAAGGGGCAAACCCCAGAGACCTGTTCATGATGTCTGCAGGACTTTTTTCTACAGTGGCAATTCACGCCTGGTGCAGCTGAGGAAACAGAGAAAACCAGGCATTAAGTAAGGAAGCCAGGAGTATGCAATAGTGAACAATACTATGAAGATACATGACACACTACAGAGGAGGCTTGTTTGTGTTGGTGACATCACACCCAGCACCATGATCAACTCCAAAGACTGGGAAATGATACATTTAACAAGTGTTGATCACATGACAGACTTGACAGGCAATTTGGTTCTTTCACCTTGTTGTGTCGCCCTGACCCAACACAATCATACACTTTTTTGCTTCCTGAAACTATCCTTTTAAGCAAAACATATTTTTCTTTCTGTAACAAGATTATCAACTGGAGACAAAGGTGTAATCAATATATTCTACATTATGAAACTATTCCACAGGTAAATTTTTAGATCACAAATCTTTAAAGAAGAAAGAAAATCTGTTACACTTTTTTGACTCTCTCTGTTACTTCTATGAATTAGACAGTGAAGGTCCTAGAGGATCAACAGAGAAAATTTCCTGAATCACACAGCTGCCACAGGATTCCAATCTGCCTCATCAACCCTGTCTCAGGAAACTCTAGCCAATGCTCATATTGGGCATCGCCACTCACCTACACCTTGAAGAACAGAGCCTTCAGGGCTTCCAAAGG